TAGTGTGTATACTTTACAGTATGACTTATGTATATGTACATCTTTCGTCACAAATGTCATCTACCAGGATGACGCAGGTGCGACTCTCATGATTTTCCAGAAGAAATCTTCTGTTTACATTTCTAATAACTTTCAATACAAGTTATTTATTTGGATACTCTCCTATGATTAGTTCCTAGAAAAATTAAACTTGAATTATTATTTTGTTTGCACACACATGATTTGTTTGAAGTGGCGTCGCAGTTTTACTTTGTAAAAAGTAAACTCGATGCATTGTTCTGCGGATTGCAGTGTTGATACCAGGGAGCCATAACCACGGAAGGCTAATTCTGCAGTTTCATAGCTATAGAACTATGTGGCCATTTTGTCCTAGCTGTCTCTTTCTCGCTTGCTCCCATACATTGAACATGAACAGGCACTACGTCGTAGCTCCACCTCCTGGTTACTAATAACTATGATCGATCGTCATGCACGACATTGTTTATAAAATGTCGGATATCGCAGATGAAAGAGAAATACATTCAGTTATCTCACTTCTTATTGCACTTCTACATTCCTGTATTTTTTTTTAACTCCATCGGAATTTGGCAGAGAAATGTTTTTAAATTTAGCTACATTAAAAATCTATTATACTTTCGCTAAAGATTCAGCGACCAGTCATTTAAACTTAATATTATTCTTTTAAGGGATTGTCCCGATAAGACGAACTTACCAAGACATGTTAAAAAAAATTTTGTATAAGAAAGTATAAGGTTTTAAATTATCAAAGTATGGAGGCTAATTATTGGCCTTTAACTTACGTACATAATATGGTAATGTGTACTAAAAAGAAAACTAAACAAAAAAAGACTTTACTGTAAGATTTTAATAAATCATAATCGCATTACAATATATATATATATTTATATATATATATATATATATAGTTGTAGGATTAATTATTTAATAGTTGAGTAAAAGATGATTTTTGAGCGAAGTATTGTGTGAATGAGAAGGATGGATGACGTAAAAGGGATTGAGGGACTTTTCGCAACGACGCCACTAAAGAGTGTGCGATGTAATTATATATATATATATATAATTACATCGCACACGTGTGTCGACAGCTTTTTGGATATTTGAAGTTGAGGAATAGGTCTTCTTGGGACTGCTTAAGCACTAATCTGAGTGTGACGGTCAATCAGACCCAAAATATTAATGTAATTGAACTCGACAAATTTACATACGGTACGATATATTCTAGTGGACCCGACAGACGTCATTCTGTACACATGACTTAAATCCGACAATTTATAAATAAAAAAAATTGCAGTGTCCCTAACTGTCCCGAACTGTCAATCTAAACAATTCCCGAATCCACCTGAAGACACACAAAAAAATTTCATTAAAATCGGTCCAGCCGTTTAGGAGCTGTTCAGCGACATAAACACGTACAGAAGAATTATATATATAAAGGTATCGCTGTCTACCTCTGAAAAGGAGAGCTTGCATTAACATAACCTATTTTTACCTGATCTGTGTAAGATCGGCGAAAACTGGTAATTTATCTGAGGGGAGAGAAGGAAAATTTCCATGATAATATTGCGTCTCGTTTGCATTATATACGTCTTGAAACATTGTTGCAAATTACGTATCAATATAATAGGGCCCAATGCCCCTCTGAAATGTTGTTTGTTGTTAAATTTAGTATCAACTCAAGTCACGCACGTTTACACTGTTATGTGGACAAGGAAAGTGGTTAACGCGCCAGGAACAATGCACTATTAATTATTCTTAATAGGTACATGTCATACATTTCATAGATTTGTTAAGGACTGTCAATTATGGTAAGTTACCCGCGTTATGTAAAAAATGTTATTGCGACGAACAAAAATTTTTAACGTTGTTTTTGGTAGGCGAATTTATTTAACCGATTTAAACTTGCAACATATAACAACCACATGTATTTATTGCCCAAATAATTACTTGATAAAACAATGAAAAATAAAAGGCTTATAAACGGTATCCGATAACCTTGTTGCAACAACAGCTTATATCTTCCTTCATCATTATTAAATATTTAGAATAGTCAACTTTATTGTAATTAACATTCAAATGATAAAAAACTAATACAAAATAATCGCATATACTAGAACAATGAACCTAAAACTATCCTTAAAAATGTAATAAAATAACTAAAATATATTAATTAAAACGAGTCCTTTTAGTTAAGGTTCCGAAGATACTGGCAGCGTTCCCCCTTTGAATAGCTAGAATTCTTTGTCCGATGTAGCTGCCAGGCCGTTCGGTCTCCTGTGAGGTCAACTGACCTTTATGCTATTTCATATATTTAAAATTACATGTTGGCATATTTGACTAGTTTTATTATGCTCAACAAAAATAAGGCAAGTTAATAGATTAACTTAAAAGTCATTGTGCAGATCCTGTGTGCGGACAAAAAATAAAACCATAACCTCAAAAATCAGTTTGATAAAAATAAAATTGATTCCACTGGATGGGTAAAATACGGTTTAAGGTCATAAAAAGTCCTAAGGAGCTGGTCTAGATGGAATCTAAATCTAGGCTCGTAGTATGGCCTAAGTCTACCAGGGTAACATAAACGTCGGAATGTTAACGCGCGAATAGAGCGTGTGTGAAACAGATAGATAGTGCCATCTAGAGACGGCGAGTAGGTCACTAGTGCATCTATCTATCTCGTCGTAACCTAACCTAAGCTCACCTCTCTGTCTGCGGAGTGGAGTCAAACCTAGTGCATGTTGGCGCATATAAAGTACCAGGAGAGCAGGTACGAACGGAGGTAGCGACGCGAAGCGACAACATCGGTGCGAATATAGGAAATGCAATCTGCATCTGCGCATAGGGCACGCGTCTATCGTTTTCTCTTTCAGGTTAGTTGCAATGCCTGCATGGGTTAGACTGAACGTATTATCTGGAATTTTTCAGTTTCAAAACACATAGTGTTAGAAAATTCACTCATTTAATCAACCGTCGTAACTGGAGGTGGGTTAGAGCTAATTTCTTAGAAAATTAAATACACACATTGTTTAAGATTTGTGAACAAAGAAAAATCTAAGTGATGGCGCTAGTTAAAATGCTAGACACCTTTGTAGCGCGTATAACTTAAATGCGTCGCGATTAACTGAAAAATAAGTACGTATTCTTAAGAAATCGTTTACTATACATGGACTTGATTAGGAGTTTCTAGAAAAAACAGCAAGCCACTGTTTATGCGCGGTCATCGTATAAGAGATTCAAATTTTATATTCGCACCCGACTGAATTGTTTGAGAATATAACATTTTGTCTGAGGACGTGGTTCTAGATAGATTATAAGGGTTTTATGGCATATTAAAGGCTATTTCGGGCTGTTGCGTAGCTTTCATCGGTGAGTGTTTTTCTGGGCTTTTGTTTATTGCTGTCTATAAAAGTATATATTTCGAAGGTGTAAAATTTTCAATATTTTTTTTTCAGACCCATATTTGTTTTAATTTATGCCTTTTTTTTTTCTAATAAAGGACAATATTTTTATGTTAAATAATTTCAGAAAACAGTTTGGTGTTCAAATTTTTTAATGTTATGTCATAAGTTTCTATTGTTTAAATATATAAAATAAGATTTATTTACAATGTATATGCGAGTTAACCGGTATCTTTATATTACTGTGCATTCTCACAGTCTTTTATTAATTTAAGTTCACCATAATGGGCAAAATATTGAACATTTACATAAATAATCTTATATATATCTATAATATTATCGATAAAATAACGCTGCTCAAATCTGTCTGAGTGGCAGAAACATCACTGGAAATACAGTTATACTAATAAAACCCATTCTCATAAAAGAATTTATATGTGACCGGACCAGTTTGCATTAGTCGCTGCAAGTGATCATGTGAATAGCAAGGAACACCTTATAAGGAAATTAAAGGCATAGCTTTAATTTTTACGGTATATAAAACGAGCTATTATTTTCACCGTTTTGTTATATGATTTATTTTACTGACAACAAGATTCAAGTTGGCTAATAGTGTGTCAGTTCAATATTGGACCCATGTTTTTTTTTCTATTTATTTAATATGTGGCCATTCGAATAAGAAATTAAAAAAATATATAAAATTTAACGATATAAATTTTTGTATAACACTCCTTAAAAAAGAATCTCAATAATTAGTAACCAATAGAATAATACAATGGGAAAAATCCTTAAATTAGGAGGAATTGCAAAATTTTAATTCGTTACAAAATATGCATATAAATAAATATCTAGTTGGAAAGATTTGCTATTTCATGACTTTAAAATGAGTTATGACATATTCGATAAACATTTAAGTGCAAGTGTAAAAAAAATATTATATAATAAACTTCACATCATTAACATTACTGTTATAAGTGATAACGGCTAAAATATGAATGAGATTGACCTTTGTGATTATATTTATTTAACGCACCTCTTGCAATCTGTGTCAATTATTCTCTTATCTTTGTGTTAACTAAAAACATGGACATCAATGTAAGATAAGAGTATGCTGTATTCCATCTCCGTTTTAAAGTACACCTTAGATTTGATGTAGAATACAGCAATTACCATTGGTCAGGCGCCCAGATTTGACTGGATACTCGTTCGCGCGGGAACCAAACCCAACCAATACTTGTAGCACGTATGCCCGGTTTCTGCAACACTGATCAACGTAGATGTCAACTAATCAGTGTCAAATGAATTTCAAATGTCATTTGAGTTGCCAAAAGGATGTTTAAGCTCTTTGAATTGATCATTCTAATCATAAAGAAGATCATTCTGGTCAATTCAGAAAGTTTAACCATCCTTTTGGTACCTTAATTGTAATTTGAAATCCATTTGACGGCTGATTAGTTGACATTTACGATGATCAGTGTTTCAGAAACCGGGTGTTAGTATGCTAAAGTAAGTTAAGTGCAATTAGATGTGTGACTATTCGAGTCAAACAAGCAACAAAGATTGATTCTACAGTCTAAGAAGGACATGGCGGTCGATCCGCAGGAGGACAAGTACGACGTGGGCAGTGGTGAGCGGTTCGACGACTTGGTCGGCCTCATCGAGCACTTCCGGTCGTACCCGATGATCGAGACTTCCGGTGACGTGCTTCGTCTGCTGCAGCCCGTCAGCGGAACCGGCCTCCGCGCACATGACATCGATCAGAAAATAATGGTTGGTAGTAATTTGTAAGACAGAAATCCGTCAGCGCGGTAGTTGAAGTGTGATGACAGTAAATTTGTGAATCACAAGACCTTATTGAATTTTTAACTGAATTGTCTTTTATGCAGACGAAACATAAGAATAGGTAAAATATCTACTCTCGAAACATTACCACAAAAGAGAAGAATTTGTTATGATTAACCAAACAAGATTCAATCTTTATTTGACACACAACTCTTAACTGTCCATAAATTGCAGAGTAAATAATCCAAAGAAATTCATGCACTGATTATACATGATTGATAAAATTTTTAGGTGCTTTCTATACATTCAGTAAACGCTACCTAAACGAATCAAATTAATTTTCAAATGCAATCGAATTACTTAATAGTGGCAAAACTACTGTGGTATGAATTAGAATGGTAACAATTTACATCGAAGATTATATTACAGGCTCATTGATTAACTACATATCAATTCCTTATATCTTCCAGTGTTATTTATTTATGTGATATGTTCAAGTTTAGCATGTGTTGCAGCAAATTTTATTCAATAAATAAAGAGTAACCTATACTTTAAAAAGTATCTATGGTAGACCCTAGATTTTATTTATTCTGTCCATCCAAACGTTGTCCAGAAGAATTTTCTTAAACAAATCCGTTATAAATTGTACTGTTAATAACTTCAATTCTTGCTTCTGATTTCTTATCTTAACGTTATCGTACTTAGCACAAGACTAGCGTAAAATGCCAATAAACATTGAAGAATTTTATTTGAACACGCTATCGACCAGTCTGTATTGCACATCATGATGTTAATTGGTGTAGCGTAGGATAGAATTAATATCGAACATCGCAAACCTGTTTATACGCTGCATTTTATTGCCAACTTATAAATATTATATTAGGATACAATTGGTACTTTTCTGCATTTTAAATCTATATAGTTATTTTATTACCGATATTTTAAATTCGATGTATATTATACATTTACGTACTTATTATTCCAGTGAATGTAGTGGCATGTTTTAAGTTGACTCTCTGCTTTTTCTAAAGAAATTTTTACTATTTCAACCATTTCGTAAATTGCAAGACTGTAAATTATTATTAAATTTTCCGCCTTATAATTTTATGAATTGAACTTCTGCAATTTTCCAGAGAGACCCGGATACTCTCAGATGAAAATAACAAAAAATAACTATTTGAAAAAAAAACAGAAAAAGGTAGAGAAAATTGTAGGAACAATTTTATTCATTATTCAATGTTATCAATGTATCAATGTGCGTGGGTTCGAAGGATGCAGGTGGCACAGGACCGTGCTCGTGGTAGTCTATGGGAGACGCGGTGGTCAGCAGTTGCCTCAGACATGCTGAAATGATGATGATGATGATGTATCAATAGTATAGAAAGCTAAGGAAGAATATCAAAATCATTTGTACAAATACAGCGGCAACGAATATCGTGGGTTCCTATAATATTACACCAAATAGTTTATCCGTTTTTCAAATATTTGGTTGCAAGTAGCACTATATTTAATATCAGCTTTATCCTCTGTCATGTTCAGAAAAGGTACCACTAACTACGCACGAGGACTTGCACATATTATCTTTATGTTAACCGTATCTCAAGACTTCGTGACCTTGAAAGCTTTTTTCAATTGCAAATTTCTCATTAACGATCGAATCTTGAATAATGCGTGATTATATGACAATTTGTACATTGAAGATCTTGCCACTTGTTCTTACAAAACTACTACTGAATTAATGAACGAAAGGTATCACAATGTATAGGTAGAGCAATGACAACGAACAAACTGCATAGATTAGAAGATGAGTCAGACACGTAATCGGATGATTGTATAGAATGTTTTTTATGATTCTGTAGAAATGCCTCGTAGTGCCAATATTTTTGTCATTTAATTCTAAGCTCATTGTCTTTCAATACATTGTCATGTGCAATAAATAATTAATTGCCACCAATTCCAAATAAAAGTCAAGAAAATCTAATCTAACAGTGATTGTTTTAAAAGCATTTTAAAATTTTCAGGAGATGGAGAAATTCCAGAAACCGGAGAACAAAGGCGGATACGACGGGGAGTTTCTATCACTAAATTTGGCAGAAGAAATGAACTTATTTTCCATGGAAGAAGGTGAAAAGGCGGAAAATATAGCTAAGAACCGCTACAGGAACGTACTGCCGTGTAAGTTTAATGAATCTGCATCTATCTCTACTTTAAAGCCATTCAAAAGCCAAACAGGACTTAAGGCACTAAATTACACGAAACCAAATTTATATGGCTAACATTTGGAAATGTGAGGGAAGTCGACGGATGCAGGTGGCTCGGGATGGCGCTTCGTGGCAGTCTGTGGGGGAATATTATGTTCAACAGTAGACTCAAGCAGGCTGAAATTATGACGATGATGGCTAACTTCTGTGGTATCACTATATAGTATAAAACAAAGCCGCTGTCTGTTTGTCCCTTTGAATGCTTAGATCTTTGAAACTACGCAACGGATCTTGATGCGTTTTTTTTTTTTTCTAAATAGAATGATTCAAGAGGAAGGTTTATATGTGTGATAGATTGCACCCGTGCGAAGCCGGTGCGGGTCGCCAGTTAATTATAAATCCAAATATCTTGCCCTCAAAAATTCTCATTCAGTGTCCATTATCTTTATCCAAGGAATAAGTTATATCTATTTCAAATATTTGAATTCAGATCAAGAGTGTTAGAGTGAGCAAGGAAAAGCAGTGGAAAAAATTCAATTCAACTCAAATGTCGTTATTCAAAATAGAATCATTACTTATTGAGTGTCAAGCGATCATCCGCGATTCCCCAAAGTAGAATGCCATTAGACATATGCCAAACGAGCCTTATCTGCATCTGTCAGCTGTCTAATTTTTTAACGAGGCTGCTGCGATAAGTCCGCTCGCCAGCTTTCATTATGGATGCCAAACTGCAATGGGGCTCGACTCCATTCAAGCAGAAAAGCTTTGTTTTGGGGAATGATTGTTAATATCAATTTTTATTTAACTCTCGCTTATTTTCTTTGCGCAAGTAATTGTCTAGTAGAGTTTATGTATAGGTATAAGTTTATAATGTTGATATAAAGGTATGTTTAACCAAGATAACCCACAATAACCATCTTTATCTTTAATTGCACCCGTGCAAAGGCGCGGGCGGGTCACTAATGTTTATCTATCTTCTTATATATATAAATAAAAATGAATGTTGGTAAGTGCATAGCTCAAGAAAGGCTGGACCAATTCGGCAAATTTATTTTTTGTATGTTCCTTAAGGTTCACGGAAGGTTTTAATACTATAAAAAAACGAAGTCTGTCCGGGCAACTAGTATAAACTAAAATTAGTCAATGTCGATGTCTACTTTAGAACCGGGAAGGAAGGCTTTTTGTTTAATTCAATATATTTTGATTTAAAAAAATATCAGTTTTGAGTGATAATTAAAATTGTGAAACTTGCGATGGTGAAGTGCATTGTGCATTTAGGAATATGAAAAAATAAATTATAAAAAAAATTCATTCGATATATTTAAATTCCCGTCAAGACATTTGAAACTATCGGTGGAGGGGATTAGTTGGGGGTCCTATGCTTTACTACAGTGGCGCTATTAGTTTAATGTTAATGGTCAAATATTATGTATGGAGTAAGAATTCCTCTCTGAGTATGTGTTCCGTGCAGATGTGTCGTTTTAATTTATAAACATTAACCTTTCTGGAAATTATTACTCAATTAATCAGTATATAATACAACATAAAACTGTATTTAAATTTTTAATCAATTTTCGCAAAGAGAAGAACCTTAACGTCTCAGGGCCTTTTCAAAGGCAACTTATACGCGTATAAATGGAGTTTCTAATTTAATACATGCCATTTTTTATTGTTCAAAAGAAAGTTGTTAGCACTAAGCCATTGCACTAGATTATATAGACGTTTATAAGTGGATAGAGTATTGTACACACCGCGACAATTGATGGACATCCAAAGAAGTATCATTAGGAAACATATTGAAATATAAATTTAAATTTCAATATTTAAATTAATAAAATTAACAAAATGATTTATAACAATCATTTCTCCCCAGACGACGAGACCCGAGTGATTTTGCGCAAGATCGGCGACGTACCTCCAGAAGCCGACTATGTTAATGCAAACTACATCCGTTCAAACAACGTTTTCGAGCCGTCCGCTCTGTCCTCCAACGAGACCCTGAACAGCGTGCAACGTAAGTCAGCGCCGCTTGTCCACATAATACTTAAATGCCGAACCCACCACGACCGATAGAACGATGGAGACCATATTATCCAGAAAAACGTGCCCGTAACAAAACATTTGATGAACCTTCAGTTCATCAAAATTTGTTTTTGTGTTCAATTTAGATAGATTAAATATTACATCGATAAACTGTATGATGACATTTAAATTGACTACTGGACGAACGAGATCTGAGGTTTATCATTTTAAATCGTACATTCAATTATTACCCAGAGTATGCGTGGTCGATGGATGCTGGTGTGATCTGGTGAAGTCTATAGGGGAGGCCTATGTTCAGCAAATGACTCAAACAGGCTCAAACGATGATGATATGAGTGGTTTACAGATTTTTATAACTTAAATTATACTAGTCAATTTGAAATTAATGGTAACCTTAATGATGGTTGAGTTTGTCACTATTAAAACTGTGGTATACGGAACTAAGTATAAAAATAAAAGCTTTTAAAAAAGGCGCCTAAATTTCATGTCATGGACCACATTTATATGGTGTGGTGTACCAACGAGACTCCATATTTTCGGGTTCCTGACGAAGATAATTGAATGATCCTGATTAGATGACTCCATTTGAACAGCATGTGAATTATGTTGTTAGAGGTTTTGCCAATGTTATTGCAACAAGCCGCCTGCCTAAAGTCAACCCTTATTACTATGTTATGTTCAAATTGCAGTGGGTTTATACACAATGTTATATATTACATCTTGTCTGCGCTTTTACTCCAATTACCACACTCACTAGCATTCGGAGGGTTCTTGACAAATGTAATAAACAGTAATTACTTAGAATTTTTTTTTTTTTGACGAAAACAATAGAAACTTCAAATATCTCAATCACCGTACATTTTCTGTTCGATTTCAAGGTCCATTACCAATGCAATTGAAGACAACATGGGAGCATAATCGAACCCAATACAAAATTACCTTAAAAATCTTATATTCTTCTTCGTTATATTAGCTCCGGAAATCTGAAGTATAAGACATAAAAAAACACAGCCGAATTCAGAAGCTCGTCGTACATACAGTAATGTTAAATTGATGTTAATATCGAGATCTCGGATCATCACCGATTGCGTACTAGGAAATCAATGCATGAAATACTCCTGCGTTGCCATCTTACTAACGAGCTTTTATGGTGGCAGACGATATTATTATAATATGTTTTAATTATAGTTATGTTATATGATAGCATATTATGTACCTATCAGAACAATTATTATGTTACATCGTAATACAGAGGTTTGTGCATGTTAATTTTATTAATATCACACGACGTATGTATTAATTAAAAGTGCGAAATAACGTATATGTAGAAAAAAAAGTGACTGTCTTTAGACCGATAAGCAGGAATAATGAAGTACAATGTTTTTATTAAAATCTTCAAACGTCTCTCGAATATATTCTTACTCGGAGACTTCCTAAAATTGCTACAATTTACCGTGATAATTAATGGCAACATGGTTCGGATTCCGATCTTATCACAATGATGCTGACACCGCAATGTCAAGACAGGTCTTGTAAATATTATTTTAAAATTAGCTCATCAGCTTATTCCAACCATCGTAACACTGAGAGTTGATTTGTTAAGTATCGTGAGTGGTGAATAATCCTATTTGTTTTATTTTTGTGCTTGTAGAAAGCAAAATTGGGCATATACAAATTCAAGACGCATCATACATTTTAATGGGAAAAATTGCACTTCTTGTTGGAATCTCAAATTTAAAAAAATAGTTAGTTTTTTTTTAAATTTGAATGAAACCCTAGCTTTGAATTAAAGAATTTCGATATCAGTTAAGTATTTTGTGTGTTTATCATTTACGACAAACATACAAACATACAGTCTATGGGGGAGGCCTATGTTCATCAGTGGACTCAAACAGGCTGAAATGATGATGATGATGATACAAAAATAAAATCTGTCTTCTATATGTATTAAATGTTGTAAGTTAAAAAATTACAACGTTTAATACTTACTACGCTTCGTTCCTAAGCATGGAAACAATTTTGATAGACTTAATTTACTTAGTACTATATTACGATCCTTGTGATAAATAATCCAATTAAAGGGGTGTATTTTGTATACTTTTCAAATATTGTGTAAATTTATAGCTGTGCCTTAAAATGTCGCTAAACTTTAATTATATTTGTTAGTATTTCCGTTATTTTAAGTAGAAATGGTAAATATATGCCCAGATGTTCTATGCGTGAACATATACAACATATACACAAAAATATAGCTTATACATCAGAATAAGACATAGGCTATATTTTATATACATATTTCATGTAAATATGTCTTTCTTTCTTATTGTTACACCTTCAGCCTATTAGAAGCAGACGTAGTCGCGGGCAGCAGCTAGTTAGAGATAAATTTATTGCAATAAAAGTTACTTAACATCATCGCCAAAGCCCGCTAATGTAATAAGTGTATTACTAAAATGTTTAGTTAGTTCAAGCCCAGCCTGTGCAGGGTTTCAAGGAGTTCCATTAAAAGCATTTCTTTTAACAATATCGTAGCGCATAGTGATTTTGTGAACAAATAAGCCTTGTTTATGGGCCTTACTGTGGAAGTGTCAAATGTTGTTCCAGGAAAACTTTCTCTTATGACTCATCACTGAGAAACACCACACATATAATAATATTCCCATAACAATCCTTTTTCGTTTGTAAACCCACTTATAGGGTACTAACCTTTTATCTTCAGATCTGTCTACAAGATCCCAAGTGTGATTTTTTAATTGAGATTTGTGTTTATCGTCAATTGCCTGCTGCCCGTTTTCAGCTTTAACATTAACTTTTGATGGATATCTAAGTGAATTTTCTTCATCCTCACTTATCGACATCTCCATATATGTATGTGACATCTGCATATCATCTGCCGTTCGTCTATTCTCTTTCTAACTAAACTAAAAGTAACCTATGCCACTCATGATTACATCAGCTATTTTCTATTGAGAGTTACGTTAAAACGACTCAGCCGTTACGGAAGTTATCCATAAAAAATAGACAAACAGACAGAAAGCATTTTTTTTATACTTATGTCATTTTTATAAATACCGTGTTAATGTGTGTTAATGCATAAAGTAAAAAACTTATAATTGCGACATAACAAACTGGCACTCTTTACTTGTACACATGATAATCATGTTTTTTTTAATATATTAAATATATAAATTTGCCAAGAAAATATGAATGTTCAGTTTAAGTCCAATGTTTCATCTACACCCAATATTGCAAAATATGTATTTAAAATGTAAAAAGAGGAAAATGTACAAATTAAATTCCAACTTAAAACATTAGTTTATAACATAAACATTTATAAAATATTACTAGATTGTTCCCTTTAGAATTGATAAATGTGATCCTTGTTAAACTTAAAGGAACAGATTGATTTTTACTAGATGGAGCTTACAATTGCAATAAACACTTAAATGACTGGTTCCAGCTCTGGCTGCACAGAATGACTGTATAAAGTCACCGCAACTCGTTACGAAGTCGCTCTCGGATGAAGCTCTAAGGGAAATAAAGAAATGCATGAAATTGGACAAAATAAACGGAAACTTACGACTCAGTACAGGTAAAAATGTTCATAATTTAGTATGTGATTAAAATTTGTATTTAGTATTGATATAAATAAATTTAGTATTGATTAAAATAAAACCAGTTGACTGATTTTTATGAAGTAAAGTAAAAGCCTACATATGTCGCACTGCTTAGCAAAAGCCTCCTCTGCACAGATGATATGAGGACATAGTCCAACGCGGTACCTTCACAGTCATATCTTTGATTTTTTTTTATTATTTCCAAAATATTTAGGTTTCCTCGCGATTTTTTCATCCACCTCGTGATAAGTCAGCAATTAAAATTATCAATTGTATTGGTGTCGTTACAGGGGATTGAACTCAGGTTGCTCGAGTATTTTATATTATTTAGGTACCTACCTTCGGTACCTACGGTATATTGAATTAAAAGCGAGCTCCCGGACAATGAGCTGTCACGGCGAAGCTAGATTTGACGATGCATTAAAATAATGTACTTTTATATTTGTTTGAATCTTCGTGAGATTTACTATAGGGAAATGGAAAATAAAACATCATTTGTTGTTGTTTTGTTGTCCCCCCCTTTTCGGTGCTAACACTTTTGGATCGCAAAACAATGTTAGTACAACTATTTTAACTCCACGCAGTTTTCCTAGAGGCAATAATGGTTATGGCGATTTCAGTAAAGGACAAAACTTACATAGCCACCCAAGGTTGTCTTGCTAGCACCGTGAACGACTTTTGGCACATGATCTGGCAGGACGACGTTAGGGTCATCGCAATGATCACAAAGGAGACTGAACGTGGAAAGGTGAGCGAATCATTTTCATTTTTACTGCGGTAGGGCCACCCAGCCTCGGCTGTTGCACAAATGGGCAGGCTCCTTCGGGTAAGTAGCACGACCTCACCGAAGACCGGCGTAAAGTGGAAGTATAATACTTTCGCGTTTCGTCTGGTGAGTGAGGTGGCCGGAGCCCAATTTACAAAAGGTCAACGCATCTGTAACCCTCGTATCGTGTAGCAGATGTCCATGTGCGGCGGTATTCACTTAAGATCAGATGAACCACCTGCTCGTTAGGGAACTTTTCACATTAAAAATCAAACACAAAAAATCTCAATTTTTCGTAACGGTTTTGGTTTACCATCAATGTAATATTCCTCATTCATATAATACCGATTTTTAATGGTTACATGGTTTAATTATGTATAATGTTTCTAAACGTTATTATGTTATTATTTTTTATTATATGTTAATATTACAGCAAATAATTTTTGTTACATAAACACTCAAATATACACACAAACATACACGGCTCATATATATACAACAGGTATTACAAAATTCCATTATTCTATAACTGAAAGCAGTATATTTAGGTTATTCTATAACTAATAGCGAACCCTAAAAATTAAATGTAAATAATTTTAATTATATAAACTTCATCGTCTTAGATTAATTGATAATAATTTAACTATAGCACAATAAACTAGGATCACTTAAAACATATTTTATGTAAATAAAACCACTTATAATAATTATTACCAGTAAGCTAGAACCAGATTCGAAACAAAATGAGTTGAAACAATAATTCCGCTTATTTTACGATTATTTCCTCTCCCCCATTTTGCATACCACCGAGTAAGAAGTTTTAATTTAAAAATTTAGATAGCGTTACAACCAAGAACTTTAAAATGTATATTACATTAATAATATTTTTTTATATGGGAAAATTTGTTAAGCGAGCAGGCGGTTCCCGTAATGTCGAGATGTAATTACAGAACATCTGATAGGTTACAGAGTCGTTATTAACTTAAAAAAAATTGCTGGGCCTCCAGGAACCCACCTCAATAGACGAACTCCAAATAATACTTCTACTTCTAGAAGGTCTTGGTACTTAGAAAGACGAGCCTATACATGCGTCTAAGGGAAACTGTGGGGTGGTTTACACTGACGAAAAGACACGCCCATCCCTAACTTTAAGGGACACCTAAAAAACTTTAAGTGCCAGTTTCGTTTTCACCACCGCTTATGTGTCACGATTAAGGCTTTAGGTGACACTTTAGCGGTGTTCGCTTAAAGTTAGGTGTAAATGGCTTTATTGTACGTTTTCCGATCCTTATTTTCTTTCTCAATAAAAGCCTAGGGATTACTTGCTTTTACTTAAATAGGAACAAGAACAATATAAATGTTCGGTGCCTGTACGACTCAATGTACTAAGCTGAATAAATATGTTTCCGAAACAATATTCAACCGTGTCTTCGTAAATGTATTTTCGATTGTTCTTGGAAATAGAATTGTAGAAAGATATTATTACAACAAAACTCTTGTACGTATTTACGTTTTGATTTTAATGAAATGGAGAATAATATTAATAACGATTTAATTATAAATAGCCAACAAGACAAACAGACAGAGAGCAGGAATATTTTTCAAATCTACGATCCATGGCGCAGTGGCCAAGTTATTGGCTTCGACGTCGTAGGTCGTGGGTTTGATTCCCACACGAGACAACTATCTGTGCGTCCCACAGATAGTTGTTTCGCATCTGGGTGTTTATCCCCGTGAATTTTATTTTTATAAAACGTCCTTACAGCACAGGATAATGCTATTTTAAAGTAAGGGAAATGTTTTTTTTTTTTTTAAGAAAAAAAAAATTTAAGAGAACTAACACTGATACGTATCAACTTTGATAATATTGGGGTTACGTAAATTTAAAAAAGTTATACTGGCATATGCCAAGACTGATAGTTACGCGACGTGTTTTCAGAAAAAATGCGACCGCTACTGGCCGCTGGCTGGACGAGAGGAGCGCTATCACAAATTTCTGGTCAAATCAGTTTCGGAGACCTTATACGAGGACTATGTGCTGCGGGAGCTGGAAGTGACCGACGACAGCAACACGCGTAGGAGCGTCTACCAGTACCAGTTTACTGTGAGTCGTTTTATTTTCAGAAGGTTCAGCAAAGGCCGTGGTTCAGTGATAATTTTTTTGTTATGTTTTTACCGTATTTTAGTTAATATTTGTTTGTAATGCTCGTATTTCGCATTTAGTTTTGTAAAAGTTTTTTGGTTTTTGTCTCCACTGCCTGTTGTAATGTAGTTTTTACCCATAATTAAGGTACCACTCATCACTTTTTTGCATATCTTGTATAATTCTTCTGTCACAGTGTGTACTGTGTTGGTGATAAATAAATAAATAAATAAATAAATAATTGCCGCTCACGAAATGCCGCCTATGACATCCGTGGCGTCTCTTTTGCGAGTGGATGAATGCCGTAATTGGTTCCCTCAGTAAAGGGGGAAATGGAAAGCACAATCCCTTCACACCGCTCTTCTGTTAGGCCACTTTCCCAGGAGGTCCTATGCGTAAAGACGTGACTGTTAAATAGTTAAAATTCAAACGCTCAAAAATCTACTTCAACTGATTATTTTCCATCACTTCATTATTGTTAGCGTAGCAGTAAATCACTCTATATCTTGAATTGTGTAAGAAAGCGGCTAGGTTAATTTTTTTTTATTATTGTCCCACCGTTCGTCTCAATAATTATTTTTTTCTGTAAATAGGTGGCTATGGAAGAATCGTAAAAGACTCGTACAATACGAGTCTTTTAAATAATATGAATAGGTAAGGGAATCGGAAAGTTTCAAATAAACTAAGGTTTATTCGAAAATTTTTTAATTAACGAGTTAAGTTTACAGTTCAAAATTTTATAATTAACGAGTTAAGTACTCGTTATCGCATTCAATTTCAAGTTCAATTTAATAAATGGTAATGGATGACCCAATTGGCGTAGTCGACAGTGTACTTGTAACCTGCGCCAGAGAGTATGGGTTTGATCCATACTAATGGAAAAAAATTGTGTGATGAACATAATATTGATTTTTGTGTCTGTTTGTTTATATTTATCTATAATATGTATTTATTTGCAAAATAAAATATGTTTAACTTTGTTTATCAGTTAACGAGCTTCACTTAGGAAAGTTGTGTAAATTAGTCCTCAAATATTTAATTATTCATTTAGTTAATATTATAAACAAATCAATTATATAAGTAGGATAGTAATTTTCCTTTGACTGCAATTAGGCCTGGCCAGATCACGGCACCCCGAACGAGCCAGATGGCGTGCTTGCCTTCTTAGACGACATCAACACAAGGATGCATCAAAGTACGCTAAACAGCAATCCACCAGAACAGGTAAGCCCTCCAGCTAGCCACGTTAGCCAAAGGATTCGTTATGAGCAAGATGTCAGATTGATTAGTAGAGTAATTTTACATATGATTTCAATTCTATGTATGATTCAAATATGTGCAAAAATTTTAGTAACAATTTTAACTGCAGATACAGCTCCTTCAAAATCACTACATAGTTTGAAAAAAAAGGCGTCTGTCTGTCCCTATGTACGCTTAGATCTTTAAAACTACCCTAGAATTTACCCTCGCACTAAATTACCGATCTATTGTTTCTTTATAAGGCTCATAACAACACTTTCGCATTTCGTCTGGTGAGTGAGGTAGCCGGAGTCCAATTTTCAAAAGGTTGTCAACGCATCTGCAACCCTCGGGTGTAGCGGATGTTCATGGGCGGCGATATTCACTTAATATCAGGTGAATCATCTGCTCGCTTGGCAAGTTTTCAATTGCACGAAAAGGAAACCGTGTAGTATTCATTTATACTTGAATTATAATTATTCACTTATCCATAATAACATTTGAGTATACAACAAAATCACATTCGTGACATTAAAAGTTACACGGTGGAACGGCAGCCGTTCGTTTTGATAGTAAGAATAATCAAACATTTAATCTTACTGATGCTATGCAATCCGATGACTGTTTCGTTATTGCCAGCATTATATATTACTAGCGGGCCGTAAAAACGTTGCCCTGTATTTAAATCTTATCCTTTAAACGAGCAATTCTTGTATATATATATATATATATATATGTATAATCGGAATCTCGGAAACGGCTCCAGTGATTTTCATGAAATTTAGTATGTGCATGTGTATTCGGGGGCGAAAACTCGATCTAGTTAGGTTTCATTTTTAGAATATGTCCTTTTATCCCTGTTTTTAGGGAATGAAAAATATCATTTGAATATGACGGTAAATTTCGCCGCAAAAGAAAATGTCATAATAGCTCGGTCGGTAATCGGTCGGCCCCAAAACAGACGGCCGTAGTTCGTATCACGATCATTTACAAACTCTTTTTTTTCGATTCCAGATCATTGCTTTCTTTATTTTTAATTTTTTTCTCGATTTGTTATTTTGTTACTTTTTTCCCTTTTTTTTAAGATTTTTTTTTGTGAAAAACGCCACTTCATATTTTCTTAGGTCGGTAAGATCGAAAAATATTATGCATATTTCATTACTCAGTAATTTGTATCTAAATGTAATTTCCAAAATACACAATTTACTAAAAAAAAAACCGAGCAAAGCTCGGTCCTCCGGGTACTATGATTAAAGTAACAGCGTATACATGTCCCACTGCTGAGCAAAGGCCTCCTCTATACAGAGGGTATCGGGCCATAGTTCACCACGCAGCCCCACTGCGGATTGGCGGACTTCACATATGTTCGAAATATATATATTTTTTGTCATAATTTCGAAAATATGCAGGTTTCCTCACGATGTTTTCATTCACCGCGGAGCACGTCATAAGTCAGCAATTAAAGTTTAAAACTTCATTGGTGCCGGCACCGGGGATCGAACTCAGGTTGCTCGAGTATATTGAATTAAAGGCGAGCGCTCGGACACTGAGCTAACACGGCTCTTTCTAAATTCGATTAATCATCATGAAACCAGCACTGAAATATTTGATATGCTTAAAAATTTACAGCGAATATTATTTGAAAAGATAATCATCTTAAATTTATCAGCCACATATTCAAATTTAAATTACGCACTTCAGATTCTTATTTCTCTCATTATAATCATTTCTTTTTTGCATCGCGCGTCCCACAGTTAATTATCAAAGGCGCAGAGGTCTCTTGTTTTTGAAATTACCCTTAGCATTAATATCCAATACTCATATCTATGTGCTTGCTAAAAACAAATCTATTTTCAAGGTAACCGCGGCGAATTTTTAACATTTTTTTGACGAATGATGACATTACTTTTCTAGAAAGAAAGGATGTGTTTTTTGAACATTATACTGTTCAAAAAACACATCCTTTCTTTCTAGAAATCTTCTATGTTTTTATGAAATTAGCTTCACATACGAAGTCGGGTGGTATTTATACAAAGTAGTTTCTCGTAAGCCCGGGATTGCGTAAAATCAAAATTTATATTCATGCTTAGTAAATGATTTACTGCCAAAATGAACAGATAAAGATCCTTTATCGTAGTGATTATTGAATTGTTATTTTATGCTGTTCCACCTAATGTCAGCGTCGAAGCCGTAGACGGTGATCTCAGTTGGAGCCTATTAGACTACCTAAGACCTAAATCTAGACGGGGATTGCAATCCGTTTCGTCTATCATAAATCATAGCTTATTTTTGTGAAGAAAGTAAAGCGTAAAGTGGAAGTATGACAAATACTTTCGCGCTTCGTCTGGTGAGTGAGGTAGCCGGAGCCCAATTTTCAAAAGTTTGCCAACGCCTCTGTAACCCTCGGGTTTAGCAGATGTCCATGGGCGGCGGTATTCACTTACAGTCAGGTGAACCGTCTGCTCGTTTTGCAACACATTAAAAAAAATTGTGAATTACTGAAAGAAATAATTGATCCTCTCTTGCGTCCACAGAATGTGCTGTGCGTGCATTGCTCAGCGGGGGTCGGCAGGACGGGCACTTTCATAGTCCTCGACATGCTTATAGATCAGATCAAAATGTTTGGTGAGACACCACAAAATAATAATAATACTAACTACTTCTTTTCTTGTTCCTACTAAGCGTCAGCGTTCAAACATCACCCATGGTCGTCTAACAGTCGTCTGTTCCACTTGCCCCAACAACATACAATAAACAATAAACACAACACGAGAATAAAAAACGACAAATTTCAATTGTATGTCTACCGCAGTTTGCGAATAATTTTCATATGTGTTTGCGATTTTTTGCTTTGTGTGATCGATTTAATCGGACTGAATGCTTCGCAATATAAACGCATGCGAAATCTAATGTTTCGATAGATTGCGATCATTTAGGAATTTGCGAATTTAGTTGTATGCGATAACCTTCAACCTTCCTCGTAACACTAACTTTTCCTTTTAACTGACTATACTTGCGCCTGGCTGTGTAACGTTTTTTCGTTTGTCACTATAAAATTGTATTCTATTTGCATGTCCATAGGGTTCAACTGTGACATAGACGTGCATAGCACGGTGAAGGCAGTGCGGACGCAAAGGAGGGGTATGGTGCAGAACAAAGCCCAATACAGATTCATATATCTGGCGCTGCAAAGTTACGTCGACAAAAAAGACTTAAAGTTGAGGAAAAAGGTAGGTATTACTCAACATATTCGTTCGTCTCTTTCTTCCCTGTCAGAAAACAGACTTCGGTGATACATTTTATTAGGTTGTAATGAGATTAAGCCAGCTTTGACGCAGTGTCTGCAATCGATATTAAATCGCTCCGCTAAAGTTTAAGCTCACGAATTTAAAGCATGCGCAAAACGTTGAGAAACTACAATGGTTCTGTCAATGTTTTCATGTAATGTCTGTCAATGTTTCAATGATCGAAGAATAATATATTTTATATCTTTACGCGCGGAACTGAATATCGATTGGGAGCACATTGATAACGACCGGGCATTGTTAGGTCACTGTTTATTGAATAACCTGATTGGGAAGCTTTGAATTTACTACTTACTTTTCTTTCGGAGTGAAATTCGTAAAGGCGGCGCCATAAAATCCCTTAGACGCGCTCTTCCCCTGTTTTCTTTCCACCCTCTCGCACCCCTACTCTGCTGTGTATACAGCGAGGGTGCAAAACTTACCCTAGGCTTGGGTTCTTGGCGTTATATCTACGTATATATTGCTTGCAATTCTTGCAAGCAATACGCATAGTAGTGACTATTTAATGAAATGGAATACTTTGAAACAAATAAAATCAACTTGTTTTAAAGATTCCAATTAACACACACACAAACATACAGACACACACAAACTACAAACAAAAAATACATCAAAAACTGTTAACAAGTTCAAGACTAACCTTTGGCGCGGTGGCAACATTAAAAGATTTCCGCCTATCGCCTGACGATGTGATCCCATTTCACACGCCCCGAAACCGCACTAATGTCGTGTCGCCGTCGGGTCAACGCTGTTCGCGACAACGAAACTAACGGCAGTTTTCACGAAGACACCAGTGCTCTTTACCACTTGAGTAACGTTCACACTGTACCGTTAATTCTTCCATCAACTACACGCCGACGACGTTCACTTTGGGCACCGTTCAAGCACTCCGGCTGTGGAGTGGATTTCGGAGGACCAACCCATTGACCTACTTTGACGCGGTGCGGGCACAGACTGGCATTGCGTGCGTACGTTGTGCGTTGTGCGTGGTGCGTCACGCGCATTTCTTCGGCCCCATTTGTAGTCTCTGATCGAGGCGACGGGCGGTTTCAGCGGAAAGTTCTCGCCCCGCCGTGTAACCCCAATGCAATGACTTGCTGTCCCATTCTGTGCCCCTGCATAAACGGTGCTTGTATGCCGCTTTGTACGGCAAAAAAATCAATAAGAAAACCTAGTATACCATATCCGATGGTCTGATATACTATGTTCGCAATTCTCGGAATATTACAATCTCCTTACGTATTATTCGTCTCAAACAAATTTGTACCTAGTCACGACGTAATAGCTAATATTTCTTTACCGTAACAAGTTTCGTCCCGTACAGCATGGGGTGTCTTTAGGGTAGTAAATATGTCTACGACAATATCGTCATTTTTTCTTGATATGAAAATTGATTGAAATGAGAATGATTTTACCTAGTAGCTTGAATGACGTACGTTTATCTTGTTTCTTCTCGTAGTCCAGACCGGTCTGTAGTGGATAGTATTTACAACTTGTTATTGCAATTTAATAAAAAATTAAAATGTTATATATTAATAGACGGTAAAATTTATTATAGCGTCTTTATTGACTTCATTTAATTTCTTCTTTTAGTAAATATTTATTTTTTTGCTCTCAATTAAATGACTGTGTTTATGAAGGAATGCCACGCCCAATCCAGTTAATTTCCATTAAAACCGCGCATATGACAAAATGATTTAAGTTGGTATTTTTGATTTTAGGGATACTACCTGGACTAGGTTTTTAGATACCTAACGTTTTATTTAGTCAGTATTTCTCAATATTCTACAAAACTTAAAATAATTTAACTTTTAATTCTTACCAAATTTTCAACTACAAAATGTTTTAAAACATTATTGTACAAAATGTGCAAATGTTATAAAACCTTAAAAACATCATTTTTTCTTTGACCACAAAACATACATATCTAATATGAACAAAATGGGAAGGAATAAATTTAGCCAACAAATGAAACTATTATTCGGATTTTATCGTATTTTCATTTTTTAATACCGTGACTTATCGTAAAATTATATTTAATATAATTTCACGGTTAGTCACAGTAATACAATTATATATAATTAAATAAAACTTTATTGATTTAATATTTACAAGATTAAGTCTATCTAAAAAAAAAATAAAAAAAAATTAAATTATAAACTAAGCAAAACTTTCGACGCTGCGTGATTCAACCTGGGACTTCAGGTTTTGCAACTATCGTGAATTTCCTGTAATTTATTTACAGGTAATTCACACAGGCTGGCTTTAATTAATTTTAGATTCCTCATATTTGGTTTCATTCAACGTTTACTTTTTAAATTTGCCTCTACAAAGAAAGTGTAGATAAGAATTTGGAATAGAAATATTCATATTTTCGCAAACATTTAAATAGATTTTGTAGAAAAAAAAATATTCGTGCTTCTCAAATATCTGGTTCTTCGATTCAAAATTCTGACCATATTGGCGAAACTCAATCCCGCGGTGCCTTTTGAAAATACAAAAAAATAACTGATTATGAAGTTATCGAGCTCGCCAGATTTTGTAATTCACGACAGCTTCATGCCCGTGACTTGCTGATAACCAATCTAACGGAGTAGGGGATTATATAAATCCGACTAATCTTATAAATTTGAAAGAATTTTTTTCATTTTTTTATTAACACTCTTACGTCAAGCTAAACTTACCAGATTATTGTAATACGCACTTTTAATCATGCTGTTAACTTCTAAGCCACTTCTGAGCCAATCTAGCGATCTACTTTTTTACTATTCGGCTTCCTAAGGCTATAATATATAGTGAAGTACTTAACAGACTGCGAGATCCTTATATTAATCTAACAAGCTACATCAAACCCGATAATACCCGATTTGACTCACAATTGGAAAATACTAACTTACACATTATCTCTCAAACGTACCCAGGGAGCATGGCCAAAATCAATCATTAACATCATCATCATATCGGCCGTAGGGCCATTGACTTCCACCTCGACCAGTCGGTGGCGGCCTGCATCCTTTGCATTCAATTTGTTTCTTCATAATTATGGTTTCAACGAAGATCAAATGATTCAGATAATGGACCGTGGACAGAGGCAACTGCCGCTGCTAAGCTGGTCAAATACGAAAAAAAAGTCAATTGAAATTGACAATAGTGTGTCTAGTTCCCATTTGTCATGTTTGTTTTCGAAAATTACAGGTCTACCCGTCGGATGGTTAGCTTAACAGACGGCATCACCCATCAAACCAAAGCGAAACAACGTCATAACCAAGCGGAAGTGATCATCGTATTAAAAATATTATTTCTATATTGATATAATAGCAAAAAGCTATAGGCATTAGTTAGCATTTAAGTTTGTCTATGAAGTTCGCAGATTGCTGTATTATTAAGTCTTTAGTGCTAGAAATACAGGTTGAAAAACTGTTACATGCATTTCATTCATTACTATCTTTCTGCGGAGCGAAATTAACCAGTCGATAACTCGTTATAAGGGTTTTACCCCAGAGCCTGTTACTTTAGGAGACGTTTTGGATGTTTTATGACGAGTCATCTAGAATTACTGGTTATTCTAATCGTTCAACTCGCTGTCATATAGCACATGTATGTTATTATAATTGCAAGTTAATATCAATGAATACTTTTAACTAATGAAATTTCATACGTTAGTATACAGCGTGTCGTTACCATTGCGACAATAAATTAACACACGTCTAACGCTACTTGCCAATAATCATAAAATAATATTAACGTTAAACAGAATCCATAATTATAAAAGAATATTTTACAAACAAACTAATTAAGTAAAAAAGAAACAAAATTTGAAACATCCTATACAACTCGCGCCACAGCGACGCATTACAAGCCTCTCCTTCTAAAAGTATGTTTTGTCTCTTTTAAATTCATTCAACCCATTCATATTCTTTGTGACCTTTACAAATGAACTTTACGTTACAGTTTTGAACGTAAGGTGACCTAAAATTATTTATTTTGGAAAATTTAATAACTCGGTAAATATTGATGTTTAAAGAATGTAAATGTTTAATACAATTTTAAAAAGTTATCCCCTATATGTGTGTTCATTTATTGTCGCGATTGTAAAGACACGCTGTATATACAAGTTCACAGAATATAAAAACGCCCACGCGCTTTACGCGCTGTTTTGGTATGCTTGCGTATTACATTTTTTAACAATTACTAAGATTGTGACAACTGCTGTTACAATCTATACGTTAGACATGTTTCTTATTATGTTAGCATATTTTATATTATTTAATGATGTGTTGTGTATAATCTGTGCGAACAATTCTGTAACATCTAGGTAACTTATTATTGCTGGCAAAAATAATTTATTACAATTTTTATTTATATAAATCGGTCTCCTTTTTTTAATTTGGATTATATTTAAGGAAAATCATGTACCACGAAATAAAAAAATAAACATTGATGATGATCCAATAATTTGAGATTACCCACCCCAAATATAATCCAGGCAGATTTTAATTAAAAAAAAAATTACACGTTCGCCATCCGCGATAAATATCATTAGTAAATCATAATGCATCGAGATCTTCAACCGCATTCAGGACGGACACTACAGTGGAGCTTACATAGTGTGTGGCCACCGTATAAATACTTAGTGTCCCATACATTCTGTCGATAGTTGAATCGATATTAAAATTATATTAGATATTGTATAAAAACTTAGTGCTGGCGATTGGGATAACAATTTGTTTTCTGATTTATACAGCTTGCGAAGACATCGTGCGCTTAATATGATAGATAAGAGATTTCTTCTAGCGAGAAAACTTCCGAAATAATTTTTCTCCATCGACAGGTGACAGAACCCTTTCGGGGAGAAACACCCCTTCCCCCCAGGTAAGTTTCCTAAGAAACCTAGTTTTACGTCTTGCATGTTAAACTAACTGCAACAACCCAAGTCAATTCACATTACGACGATGTGAAAGAGATAACTTGATTCTGTCATTTCGAACATTATGCAATGGTTCCCTCGTATAGCTATATTTTTATAAGAGAATTTAATATAGGTTCTCAATTCGACTGTTTTTTTTTTATGTTTATTACCTCAGAACTTTCTACTGACTGAACTGATTTTAATGATTCTTTTTTTTATTTGAAAGCTTCCTATATTATTATTGGTATTGGATCTTGGGCTCCGGAGATACGTAGGAAACTCCTGAAAATCAATTATGAAATGGAGAGGGAGATATTTGAAGTGGATTATGTTTTTGGTTTAATAATGTCATAACTTTATTAGTCATAATTAAAATAATATAACGTTAGGTTGATAAAGAAGACAATATGAAAAGGACTAATTCCATAGTTGTGTGACATTATGTGGTAATATGTCAGACGTTGAGAACGTATGGGACATTCTCTACGTCCTTCCCCTGGGTGGTCTGTTCTGATATTGATATTGATTGACTTCATTGTAACGTTTCGCTATCGAAAAAGCTAACTGCTGAATAACATAATTATTACTGTAGTAGAACATCTATTATTACTGTTCCATACAAAGGACGGAATGTTCTGTACGAGATACACGATGTCACAGAAGACCGATTTGCATTAGAATTATCTTATATATCATTTACATTGAACATAAGCTTAGGAATTTATACTACAGTTGTATTCATAACCTCCTCTCGTGTGTATTCATCATTTAAATAAGCATCGAAAATACCTAGTAATAAATGCAGCAGGAGTAAGGCCGTGGGTGAAGAGGAGTGCCCATATTGCTGTACGGACACTGGGAAAAGTGTTCAGCTATAGAACAGGTCCACCACTGGGAGGCCGGGATACTTGCTGTCTGCTAGCATTGGCTCTACTGGCTTCCTTGGTCTCTGACGTATACGGGTAAGTCTGTTGCCCGTTCAAAAGGGGCTAGTAGGAAAACGCGCTTTATAAGCCAGCGCGCCTTACCTGGAGAAGAGACGTTTGCTCCCCAAGGGAGGGCTGTTGAGGTGGCCAGAGCTGACCCAGTTGTGAAAGTATGCGAAAGAATGACCCTACCAATATGCATCCTAGATCGAACATCGTGGGTTCGAGCCCCGAGACACAAGGGCGAGTATGGTAGATATTTCCCTCACGTATGCTCGCTCGCTTGCTAGCTTTCCACAAAAGTAATATTGAGTTGACCTTTAAAATTACAAAAAAGAATTATAATTTGCATTTATAGGTGTTATTTTGATCCACGGTTTTTAAAACATTGGTTGTCTTAAAGTAATTTTCAACTACCTCAAAAGCTGAGTATATAATATATTGAGATAAATTTACTTATGTATCGCTTTTGTACCTTTTTATCATTACCTATAAAATGCCAACAACCAGTAAGGTTATTTGATTTATTACTTATTATTTTTTATTTACCAGGTTATTCGTAACGGTAAATTACCATGACCTTTTTGTATGAAAACATGCAAAATATACATGGCTCTCTGAATATCTTGGCAGGCGATCGGGTGCTTATCTCTTACGCTAAGACGAATTTGAGACACCGTACGGTTTTATTTTCACCGCACAATGCATAAGATATAGCTCCGTATATTTAAAGTTTAAAATTAAGTTATTATCTTTTTACTTTAGTAAAATTATTTACGTGTGTGTTAAAAAAAAATAGGAAATTAAGTAATATAGTGCACTTCGGAAGAAAAATTGCAGAAACCGAAGTCATCTTGGAACTGTCACTGGGCTAACCACCCGATTTTCAAAATTCTACGACTCAATCCTGGGAGTATCTTTATATTATCTCCTACTTAGGTCATACCAAACATAACTACACACTACATTACTAAACACAACTCACATATAGTGAGTAAAGTCAATTCATCACATTTGGCACCGTTACCATCTCACTTTACTTGACAAGTTGGAAGTAAAGTTGTAGATAAAAACATTTGCCACAGACATTCTTACTCTAATCTACTTCACAAATACTTCTTTTATGCACATTCAAAATATATTAAACCAAAACTTTGTGATTATAAGATAACATTTACCTTAATCATTTTATAAAATTATTGCTCTTGTGGTAGTTTAATACTTCATAAATTAACTAAAAACAATATTATTTAATAAAGACATTATTAACAGTAATAGTATATAATTAGAATAGTAGTATATATAAGTAATAGTTGTAAATTCATTAATAAAGATATAATCTCCTTGCTAAATTTTGTTAAATTTCTTGTATCTCTTCTCTATAGCTTAATTATTAATATTAAAACTTTGATCTTCTTTAAATTATTTTCTAATTTTAATTTTCTCCATTATCTCAGTTTCCTCTCTATAACTGTTACAGAATATTAGCAATGGATAAAGTAATGCTCACCCGCAAAGCAGCTGCAAAGGATCTTGAAAATAAATTAAGAAACACATTACAAGAACTTAAAACACAAGACCTTTGCAAACAGCTGATGCAAGAGCGTGAAGAAAGTGAGGAGGAAATTCAGGTCATTGTAAGAAAAAACACTGAATTAAAATGTGAACTCGCTGAACTTCATAAAAGTTTTTTGGATGTAGTTGCACAGCGGGACAAACTAAACGAAATTGTGAGTGCATTCAACCAGTGCAGCAATGAGCATAAGAGGGCCTTAAATAAAATCGCGGAACTTGAAATTAATTTAAGGAAGGCAAATAACTCCATCCTTGAATTAGAACAAATTAATACATCTCGTGACGCAAACCAAACCCAAAATCTGTATGCTGAGCTGGTGGAATGTAATCCTCAAATGTTTATAGACTTGACAAAAGATGACTCTTGCATCCAGCAATCTCGCCTATATACACAAAATAAACTTAAGAAATACATCAAAATTAAAAGATTTATTAAGAAAACGAATAAATTATTAAAAAATAGATACACATACAAACAAATTTATGAAATGAAAAATGAGCAGATAAAATTATTTAATAAAGTAAAATCATATAAAAATAAACTAGATCAAAATAGGTTTAAGTATGACCAAGAAACACTTCAGGTCCAGACTGAAATTAATAATTTAAATATCACACTACTAACATTGACTGCTAAATATGAATCATCTCAAAAACAAATACAAGAACACATATTAGCAGCTGATAATTCACTAGATCTTTGTAATTATAATTATAATAGATTTGAATCATTTACAAGTAAAAATACATGTTATGGCTCCAAATCACAATCTCCAAACAAATTAAAAACTCAGAATATACCT